GCCCCCACCCCTTACCCCCACCCAGGGCAGTTCCACTTTGTCCTCTAGGGGTGCTGTGAGTGAGAAGTGACTGAAGGCAGTGAGGTTTTGATGATGCACCAGTCTCTCTTCGGAGCTTCGGACGCACAACAACAAATACCCACTGTTTTGGCTCTCTCCGAGCTCATCATCCATCAGAGAAAACTGACCCGCATCCCGCTGGAACACATCGTTATTTAAATACCTCTTTTTAAAATGAGTGCTAGGAAGAAACTCTTTCCCGAGGCTGGGAGAGCCTAAAAGATAACAAAGGGTTGACTGATGAGGTGTGGGTCCAGCGGGAAGCTTCCAGGCGGTGGGAACAGGATGCACAGAGGCCCAGCCGTGGGAAGACTCTGTTGGAAGGTGGAAAGGTCAGCATGTCAGGGGAAGCTCAGGTGGAGCAGAAGGAAGGCGGGAGAGCAGGGAAGCAGGTGGCTGAAGAGGCCAAGCATTTTTTTTTCCTATTACTGCATTATGACAGAATCTATACATCATCTGAATACATTGGCCACTGTAACCTTTTCTCTCTCTGAGATTCGATGGCATTGATCGCCGCGCGGTGGTGCAGCCATCGTCACTGAGCAGACATGAGGAGGAGGGCGGGTCTGTGGGGGACTTGGGGGTCCACAGGAGCTTGAGTTGAGCGGTCTCCGTAAAGCAAGGCGTGCTTGTTTGCTCGTTGGGAGTGAAGGCTGAGACTAGGGGGAAGGAAACTTGGGATTGATTGAGGTGCTGGGCCTTCCAGTGCAACCTGGCCTGGGTGTGATTGGGACTGTACAGAGCAGACGGGCACAGCCAGGACCAGAGTTGGCAGTGGAGTCAGCAGGAGGTCAAGGGCAGAAGCTGTGAGGCGCTAGAGCATGAGAGGCCTTGGCATGCTGAGTTAAGTGACAAGGGAGTTGGATAAGAGTGAGGTGTAGCAATGATGCTAGTGTTGGCTCTTTTCTAGAGGGCTTCCTGTATGCCTGTGGTCCCTGGGTGGTGCCAATCATTAACACACTCAGCTGCTAACTGGAAGAGTCCACCTAGAGGTGGCTCAGAAGAAAAACCTGGTGATCTACTTGATGAGGGCAATGAATGTACAAATGTGCTTTACACAATTGATGTATGTATGTATTGTGATAAGAGTTGTATGAGCTCCTCATAAAACGATTAAAAAAAAATAAGTGTCGCTGCCTGGCCAATGAAAGGTGGAGAGGCCAGTGTGGAGGCTGATGTTGCCGGTGGTCAGTGACAGTAAGGTGGAGGGGAAGGGTGCATCTTGAACATCAGCAGGTAGAGGTGACTCCAGAGAGCCTGAAGGGGTGGTGTGTGGGTTATCATGACGGTCACCGAGGGGGCTGGGCAGCCTCTCTCCGGCTCCAGCATGTTTCCCCTGCCAGGGCATGGGGGTAGGTTTGGGTGGCTGCGAAGGATGCTCATTTTATCCCACTTGCTGCGTGTTCACAACCATCTCACTCTTGGGCTTCTACGTTTTCTTCCATGCCAGGGTCTGTGTGCACCACCCGCACAAAGACTGGCGTGGGCTACCCGCAGCTGAGCGCAGTGATTGAGTGTGCTGACTCTGCCCACGGCTTGAAGGGCCACATCATCTCGGTGAGTCTGCACGCAGGGCCTGAGCGGGGCTACTGCTGGCTGGGGATGGGGGGAAGGGGAACGGGGCGGGGTTGGGGAAGGCACGTGGGCAGAACGGGGAGACAGGGCATCTTAGGCTGCTGGGCCCAGTTCCTGGCTGCCATTCGCCTGACTGTCATTTTGTGGACTTGAACACGTGAGCACTAGGTGCGCAGCTCCTGCGCGCCGGGTTGCTGTAGGGGAGCCGCACACTCTCAGAACAAGAGTGGCAGGTAGCGTGGTGAGAAGAATGCCGTGGGAGCTTTAAGACAAGGAAGAGGAGAGGACCACGGATCCTAGATTTGGGGAAGGGACGCGATCAAGAAAGGCTTTTTGGCGTAAGGGTTATGGAGACCTGATGCAGAAAGGCGTTCACCAGGTAAAGCGGGGAAGAAGGGCAGAGAAAGAGCTTTGTAAACAAGAATGGCACTGTGAGTGGGACTGGACAGGGGGTGGGGTGAGCCGGAAGTGGGGCAGGAGTACGAGATGTGGCAGAGTGAGTCACAGAAGTGGACACGAACCTGGGAAGCGTGTGGAAGCGTGTGACTTTATCCCAGAGGCACTGAAAAGGGACAGGTGGGATTGAGCAGAATGACTAATGGGGTGATTTATCTTAGCAAGGCAGACAAGGGGCCGAATGGGTGTAAGACAGTCACATGGGGAATCACACTGGGCAGGAACGCCAACATGGTGGCGCTTCCACACAGCAGAGCGGAGGGCAGGACGGTCATGCAGAGCAAACAGACCTTCAAACTGGACTGGACATACTGATTAGATGTTTAGGGAGGTGTGGGCCAGAGAGGAGGCAGAGCCAAGGAGGGGGCAGCCCCGGGGGGAAAAAGAATAGGAACCCAGGGTCGGGTTTGGGGTGGGGAGCTGGGGAATTCTATTGCCTTCCTCAGTTCAAGGGGCATCTTCAAGAACCCTGCTGACGCAGTGGTTAAAGCAATTGGTTGCTCATCCAGATTGTTGGCAGGGTGAACCCCCCAGCCACTCTAGGGGAGATGGAGGAGACCATCTGCCTCTGGATCCTTGGAAACCCTTGGGAGCAGCCCTATTTTGCCCTGTAGCATCGCGATGCGTCAGAAGCAAATTGATGGCAATGGGTTTTGGAGAGGCATTCCTCCCAGAGGCACCTCAGAAGAAAGGCCTGGTGATCCACCTCTGAAAAACCAGCCATGGAAACCCCATGGAATGCCGTTTGGCTCTACCATCCAGCAGGGTGCTTCCTGAGTCGGAATCAAGTCCACGGCAACTGGTTCTCCAAGGGGCATCTATCGGGAACTCCACTGGGTATTTGGATTCTTCGGATGGAAACCCAAGACTTGTGTGTGGGTGAGGGGACCTAGGGAGAATGTGAGAGTGAGAAGTGACGTTGGCCTGGGGTGACCCTGGATGAACTCCAGTGTAGGTCCAGAGGTGCACCTGTGGGACGGAGAAGCGAGGAGGTGAGACCTGGAGTCTGGCGTCAGAGATGGCCAGGCGAGCGAGCTGCAAGTGGGGAGGCCATGGGCAGCAGGGTCAGATTCTCTCACAGGGAACTTTTGTTTCTGAAGGTGGAGGCTACAATGATTAATTTTTGCATCATGTTTCTTTTTTTATTAATAATTTTATTGGAGAGGCTCTTACAAATCTTATAACAATTCATTCAATTGTATTCAGCACACTTGCCATCAACATTTGCAAAACATTTTCTTTCTACTTGAGCCCTTGTTATCAGCTCCCCTTTTTCTCTTCCCTCCCCCACCCTCCCACTCTCCTGAATCCTTGATCAATTAAGTGTTATTATTGTTCTTTCATGTGATCACTTTTCTAATACATGCATTTGATGAGATACATTTTCATCTCGGCCGTGCTTCTGATGTGGTCCACATGTTTTCATAAGTAGGATTTTCCTTTTCATTTCATCCAAAATACATTTTAAATCTCTCTTGAGACATTTCCCTGGGCCCGTGTGTGCCGGGTGTCATCGAGAAGCATGCCGTCTGATGTCCAAGTGCATTAGGGTTCTGCAGTCATCTTTCTGTGATTCAGTTCTACTTTGGGTCCACTGTGGTCTGCAAGTATCCTCGGAATGGCCTTGGCTCTTACATATTTGTTAGGGTGCATTGGCTGCTGGCCCAGGACGTGGCCTTTCTTGGTGGCTGGTCCATTCAAAGCTAGGTAAAAGACTTCAGGTCAGAATGGAAAGCCAGCTTTTGCCTTGTGTCTCCCAAAGTCCAGCCAATGGACTTCTCAGCAGGTTGTGGAAGCGAGAAAACTTTGGCGTCTCCTTTCAGGCCATGGAAGAGATTCCTGGTTAGGCTGGGAAGCGAGGCTTGGCCCAGTGTCTCCCAGCAAGACAGGCATTGAACTTCCGGGAAGGCTGGCTCTCCTGGGCTGCCCTTCTTATTTGTTAGCTTATCATCCCATATCCTAATGAATATGGGACATTGTAATGCGTGTTGACCACTGTAATATTCAGTTCTGTGAGGACTCTTGAAATGACAAACATAACCACAGGTGAGGCAAATAAGAAGGGCAGCCCAGTAAAGCCAGCCTTCCCAGAAGTTCAAACCCTCCAAGTGCTCCAAGGGAGAACGATACGGCAGGTCGTCAGCGTCTGGGAAGATTACAACGTTGAAACCATATGCAGATGTCCTACAATGTCCTACAGGGTCACGATGAATCCAAATGGACTCTGCAGCCACAACTTTGGTTAGGTCACTGGTCACAGGCAGTGGGCAGGGTACCTCCATGGTAGAATTCCCGCCTTCCGTGCTGAAGACTCAGGTTCAATTCCTGGCCAGCACACCTCATCTACAGTTCCCACTCATCTGTTAAGGAGACTTGCATGCAGCCGTGAGGCTAAACAGGTTTCAGGAGAGTTTCCATGCTAATAGAGACTCGGAAGAAAGGGCTGGGAAATGATTCTGAAATTAGCGCTTGAAAACTCTGTGGATCCCAAAGGCTGACTGGATGGCAGTGACACTGCTAACTTTTGTGAGAACATTTGCCATCCTGGGGGGGGGGGGGCAGAATGTACGTTTGGGTGGGTTGAAAAATGAGGGGAAATAGATGAGAAGGGGCAAAGATTGAGGTGTTGGCAACAACACTTACATGAAGTTTCCGGAAGAATGGCCTCCCAGCGATCAGCTGCTAACCATCGATTAAGGATTGAATGAATGCCAGGCTAAGTCCGCCCCCAGTGTATCCATGCATCTAATCCCTCTTTATCCACATGGCAGCGATTCACACAGTTGGAGATAGGGATTACAGCTCTCCCACACGGTTCCTCTCAGGACCCACACAGTGACTTCCTCCGACACGAATGGTGTTGTTACAGGTTCTCATCAGACACATACTGTGGTACAATGGTGACTTCCACTTCTCTGGATGTGAGGGCTTTTGGGGGGTGGGGGTGGGGGTTTAAGTAATTTTAGAAGTGCTGGGATGTTTTCAGTAGTCTTACAACAATGTTGATTCATATCGAACAGATTACGCTAAGCCTTCAGACCTTTTTATAATTGCTAAGCCAGGCACCCACACTATATAATTGCTGGTTGATATTTTTTTCTTCTTCTTTTAAACCTGAAGGAAGGAAATTACATATACCCTTGTAGGGATGTAGCTTATGATTAGTACTCAGTCTTTGACTCTATTGAGGTTTGCTCTCTAGACCTGGTTTTAGGATATAACTACAGCAGAAATATTAAGGACAAAGCTTTATAAGAGGCGTTGAAAACTACTTTAAAAATGCACTAATCCCATTTGAGTCTTAGGGCAACATTTGGTCACTGTCACTGTCCCTTTTATTTAATATCAGTTGATTTTTCAGTAATCACTGAAGCTAGAATCCAGGTCCTTGCTCTTTACATATTATTCCACTTATTTCATGAGTTCCATCTAATTCTTTATCTTTTCACTGTCCTGGGCTGGGTTTTCTAGAATAGCACATCCAGTGACGCATGCAGATGTATACAGAGGGAGACCTTTTATCAAGAAAGTGGTTCACACAGTAGAAGCAGGCAAGTACATGTCCAGGCAGGTTCCAAATCCTGGGGTCAGATGATAGGCTGGAGGTGTTCCCAGACTCCAGTAGTTTCCAGGGCTGATGAACCCAAGATCAGCAGACGAGCTATCGACTGGTGGCTGCAGAGGCAAATGAATCCAAAGATCACAGGTCAGATGGCAAGCCACTGGTAGACTCCCAGGATTAGTAGGCAATATGGCTGGCCTTTGGCTCAATTTCAAAGAACCAGTGGTCATTGAGCTAGGAGCAGGCTCCAGAGCCAGGACAAACGAAGCGGCCTTTTCCACACTGTCCATTTATATTGGAAGTAGGTCACAGCCCTGAGGAACTTTCCTTAAAATTAAAAGATCAGGACTTTGACCTGAGTCAGAGTGCTGCCTCCCACCCTAATCTTACAACTGATTGGCTGCTCATAGCAGATTCCATTAAGGAATTGATTCCATTGTGTTAGGTCACATCACTGGGGATTACTAGCTCCTAACTGCTGAGCCACTGAGAACCCTGGCTCAGCCAAGTTGACATAAATGGTCATCCATTCATCCATTCATTCAGTATTAATTGAGAATCTACAACATGCTGCAAGCTAGAACATTAAACACAGATCTATTGACTGATGACAGTTGTAAGGCCCTCTACTGAGTACCTCCGCTCAGTAGCCCAGTGAACAAATGAACATGCATTTATTGAACAACTAATATTTAAGAGGTTCTATTCTGGGTTGACAGAGAACCACCCGTCCAGTCCACATTTGGAAAGTGCACCGAACACTACCATTCTTTAGTATGTGTTAGCCTAGTGGCTCATGCATGTCAACTGTAGCCTTGCCTTGGGCCGCATGAAAATCAACAGAGAAACTTTTATTAAACTGAGATTCGTGGCCTCCATCCTAGTGAGTTAGACTTTCTAGAGCTTGGTCCTCCAAAGCACCATATGTCAGGTTCATAATTCTCCATTACCTAATGATATTCAC